ATCTTTCATAAATCTTACATAGGAAAAGTGGCAAGTAATGCGGGGAGGAGACAAGTTATTCAGGTTTGTTAATTACTGTTTTAAACGCGAATATCTTTATGGTACATTGTTGAACATCTTATAATAATGAAGTCTGTTGTTGATAAATATCTGTGACAAATACGTGACATTGTCTTTCCCAATATTGTTGAAAATTGTATGAAAGAAAAAAGACCGAGCATTACTGAGAATGTAACCCGCCATCTATTACGACTTTACCTTGCATTGTTCATTGAACTCATCCTCTTCTGCTTCAACATATTCTTTATAGTACTGTTGCTGTTCATACGAGTAACGATTGCAACAACGCAGTATACAATAGCAAAACAAAACAAGAATTGAAATGACCGCCAGTAATAACCACGCGATAATCTGTGACTGTGCCTTGTCCTTGTCAGAAAACTCAACAATTGACGGGTCTTCATCAACATCACAGTTTGTGCTAGAATTGATGCATGCGTAGTAGCTGTAATGTGGGCAAATATGTGGGTATTTAATAACAGAATAATATGACTCAATGTCGATAATCTGTCATGAAGAATGAAACAAACCTCTGTGGTTTATGTATGTAAACTAAGTTACTGTATCAACTATTTCTGGGGAATATAAGAGTTATGCAACAATAAATTCAGTGGCTAAATGTAATATGAAACTACATATATCAGTGTTCACTTATACACAATGAATGCAGTGTACATCGCATTACGTCATTCGTTGTAACTATATACCATTTCATAATACTTACTCTCCATTCATGAAAGCTACAAAAAGCCACACTAGTGGTCCCAACAAGGATTGCCCAATCACAACTAATATACGGGAATGACATTCACCTCCGCTTATATGACTAGTCATCGTATAGCACCCAGTTACAACTCTCCAGGTTGAACTCTGTGCCAGTATACCTAGAAATGATTCAATGACAACATATCCAACATTGGTAATCTGTAAGTCGTTGAAGTACTAAAGTTAATCGGATGAGTCTCCTTCATGGGCGATACTATTTCTACCAACTCTACATAGTATAAACATATTGTATTTGAATTAATAAATATATAAATCTAAAATACATACTGGTATTATTGTTGATATTTCAACAAACAAGACAGTTTGGTCAATACATTTGAATAAAAACTTGCAACATTATCGCTGTTCCATATGGAGCCTTTCATCTTACTAATACGAGTATGATTGCTACAGGTAGAGACTTTAACTCACTTAGAATATAACACTTACACTGGAAAAGTACTAGACTCGACCCAAAGAATACATAATTTAGCTAATGGTTCGGCATTTATTCCTAAAACAACCAGTAACAATGTTGTCTTGCTGCCAGCTGATATTAAAACAATATACTTCAAATAAAACTTTAAGGTGTGACAGACTAAACATGTGATAATCCAAGGTGCATTCACAGGGGTTGTGTCTCCAAGGTTAAAACATTGCTTCTACAAGTTGCTAACTACAAAACACAGTATACAATGCTCCTGATATTCTTGAAATAAATGACTATAATATCTACAATAACCTACACATCAGCCAGAATAAAATAATCAGATTTATTTTTAATCTTCCTTTCGCAAACATTGGGCCATTCAGAACAAATAAAGAGATGAAATACTTTGGGTGTGAATAACAAGGTTAACATAGCTTTGACTGAATTTTGTGAATTTCATTTTCCATATACGTTTATTAAGGCCTATTTAATTTCACATATGCCTCTGTAAAGACTTGTTTTATTTCCCGGATAATTCTGTAAAGAATAATTGTAATTATGCAAAGATCCATTTAATTTGTTCACAGTTCATTTCATTTCCAGGTTTCCTCTGCAAAGGCTCATTTCATTTCAATGATGTCAAATGTCTTCAAACGCCATTATACTTCCCTGATGTCTCTGCAATGTATTCTCTTGTATTGTCCAGCATGTGTATGTAATATGATTCAACGTTTATTGAAATTATTTCAAAGAGCCATCCTATAATTTTTTGCAATATTTGTTATTATTGCGACATCAATAGAATTCATTCGCAATATGCTTCTAAGCGTTACGAACGCGTTTGAATGCAATTCTTGAGCTTTCCTAAATGTATAATATAGTCATATTTCCGTCACATTCGAACCCTTTACTTTCTTTACAACGGCGTGACTGAAATAAAATAACCTGACTTCACACAACTGATCGTGTTGGCGTAAATGTATTCCTCGGGGATATTATATATCACTCAAATACGAGTATAGGAAAGACAAACTGTTTAATCATAATTCAGGCAGTACGAGATAGCTATGTGTTAGACGATATGATTTATCACACTGCCTATCATCGTGTACACATAGCAGCAGTCTCAAAATTTCCTGATATAACTGATACAGTTTTGTACTCACCAAGACAGAAAATGATAACAGCTGGGGCTGAGATGAAGATAATCCCTATGATCATCTTGTTTTTCACATGGACACACAAAAGCAAGTGCGCTGAAAAGTTGCGCACACCCAATTGTAGTCAGAACAATGGCAATGCACAATAACGTCGTCTTATTCTTTCTTAACCTGTAATAATATCTTGCAACAAATTTGTCAGTATTTCTGTCTTACTCACTTTCTTCTGTAGAAATATAAAAAAATCGCAATGCTGATTGACTGTTATCCACCTTTCTAGTTTGCCTAACGACGGTTAACGCAGTTCCATTCGTAAAAGTGACGTTGATAAATGTAAACTTCAGAGATACAATTTGGAAAATAGCAGCATTCATACTTACCGTCATGTTCACTTATGAGGTGGAGCAACAATGCACAGGTGGTCTACGTCATAATAACAAACTGTATTCTAAGATGTCTGTTATTCGAGTAAAGTGGTATTTATTGCAATTAAATAATATATGAATATTTAATTGGATGAATATCATGAAATATTAAAAATGTTTTAATAACCTGTCACCTTATAAATAATTGCAATACCTTGTCATGCATGCCGATGTAAGTACGTCATATATGATCAATGACGTGTGACGTCATTAAGTAATTGTTAAATTCAAATTGTATGTACTGTCGGATATAATATCTGCATTGTTTGTTTGTTTTAATCAAAAAGCTGGAATCATGCATGATAGTTATCCGAGTTGGTTGAGTAGAGAGTTCATTCGGGGAAGTGCTCTCTCATCTGTCAAAGGAGTATTTGAAATGGGTTTGTTCATTTGTTTTTTAGGTTTTATGTCTAGATATCTAGTAAAGCGCAGGGTTAATGGTTGACAATGACTGAAAAATAAATTACTATAAATATGTGTATAATAGTTTAAATCATATGTAACGTCAACTCTATTCACCCTACTATCAAGTTCATCTTC